CTTAATTAACATAATCAGCGCAATCGCAAATTCAAACCTACGCATGTTTTAAAAATATTTTATCTTTGTGTTTTTTCATGTATTGAAAAAATACAGCGCATAACTAAACAAGGAAAATTGCCTTGTTCCTATAAACCTATTCCTCGGCACTCTTAAATGCCTTGCCATGTCCTCATTGCATTTGCATGCCGACGTTATAGTTAATACGGTTTTCCCCTGAGATTATCAAATGTCCGGCACGTGCCAGCTGATGACGTGTTTATTGTTTACGTTTAATATTTCACATCTCTTGAAAGTTGATTTCTCATCTCGGTAACGAATGCTAGTGTTTTCAGGAGTTGCTCATGGTGGATATGTATCCTAAAGTTTCAAATGCTGTAAAATATGATAGTATGAATATTAGTCTAGAAGGGTCATATTTTAGAAATTCGTGGCAGGGCAAAATTAGCAAGAAATTTGCCAAGCAATTTAGACGATGCTAGATGTATTTGACATGTTGTGGCCTTTCGACGACTTGAGCCGCATAATAACACCATTTTTAGCGATCTTGTTTGCGTCGTGTGTTTCGGATATTAAGCATGTTTATATCGTTAGTTCTTCAGAAAAGCGCAACAAATGATATTATGTCATTAACATATCAAATTATTACTCATATAAAGCGTAAATGTACGGATACCAAAGTTGTTGTATTTACGGAAGGATAAAATTAACACAACCGGGCCCTGCGTGAAATTAGACAGTTCAACTTTGCGCGAGTTATTTATCGCGGTTTCGCGATATGGAAATAAATTCAACGCTTGACATTACTTTTGAATACATTCTCTAGAATGGTCATCAATCAAAATTTTACGTTTTTCGTTATAAAGGTAAAAAAGAAGGTTTTAAACGAGCTTTGCGATCTATCCCACCGCTGACCAGCCCCTTTGTCAGAAAAAAACAGTGATCTTTCACAAGCTACCATGGACGAACGGAACGGAATAATGTCTTCATTTACCCTCACGCACTAAGGAATATGACAAGTAAAAATGGTCTTTCAAAAAAATTGGATTTCCATTAGTGGTTAAGCGGCCAAAGCAGTTTATTTACAAACTAGTCGTTCCAGCTCCAGGTTGAAATCGAACCTGGAGCTGGCTCCAGGTTCGCGAACCTGGAGCTGCGAACCTGGAGCTGTCTGGCTCGTCATCTGGGAAATACCGGCGACTTTTGCACGAAAATCAGTACATTTGGATCCAGTACTCCGCTCGACATTTATAAATAGACATTACTGCCGTCAAACATGAATTATGCCGTTGTTTAAGCTTATTACGACTTTAATTCTTCAAAGAACACTTGCCATGTTTTTGAATTGCTGTAAGATACTGGTAGTGATTTGTTTTAACTTGTTTAATTACGGTAAATCATGGATTGTTTTTTTTTTTAAATATTATATATAGGCAACGGCTTATCATGACCTAATATGGTAATGCTGCACTGTTATTCTAATTGTGTTATTTATACCAGATGATCTTGATACGCGGAAAAGTACTGGCACTAGTTGTCAAATAGAAATCCATTTTATGATTAAAACAACTGAATATCTCCTGTAATATACTTTATTTCGATTCCATATTTTTGTCAGAGCTATAGTTCTCATAACCAAACATAATAACAAAATTTCAACTAGTTTCATAAAGAATAACGAAAGATATAATTGACTGAATACATCAAAATGGATTTCTATTCGGACAACCCTTTCTGAGCGCTGATTAGCTAAAATACGAACACGAGATCACCTGGATAGCATGTCAATATCAGAAATAGAATAGTCGTTTGATTTCATATGAGAAGCTAGGAAAGCTTAATAAGTTTATTAATGTTATGCTGTGTGTTTCATTGATATGTTTAAACATAATACACGAGGGGAATAAACTTTATTTTAAACGATGTTTGAAATCCGAATAACTAAATACGGCTCAAAGTTTGAATAATAATTAGCACTTGAAAAACTTTGAGGGCCGCTTGGGCCTGGGGACGAGGATGTTGAAAAACAACCAATCAGAGCCCGACTTTCACCGGTGTTTCCCAAAGCCTCAGCAAGCCTTCACAGAGGATTGCGGGCTCTGGTTTCGAGATTGCTGGCACCCAGGGTATCAGTGGTAGGGTACTGTCAATAAATGGCTTAACAACGTTTGCTTTGAGTATTCAAATAAAGACTTTTGTTATTATTATTATTATTATTATTATTATTGTCGTTGTCGTTGTCGTTATCATTATCATTATTATTATTTTTATTATTATTATTATTATTATTATTATTATTATTATTATTATTATTATTGGCGTTCTTCAAGGCGATTGTCTCAGTCCACTTTTATTCAACATGTCATTCAACACTTTCATACAACATATTAAATCTGAAAAATACCGTCAGCTTGGATTTTGGAAATTAAGTGAAATTGGCATTCCGTGCAATCCTATACATTGGTTTCAGTTTGCAGACGATGCTGCTGTCATCAGTAGCCAAGAGAAAGAAAATCAAATGCTCCTTAATCGTTTTACAATCTGGTGTCAATGGGCTAATATAATCATACGCGTTGACAAATGTTCAACATTTGGCATTAAAAAACACTTAACTAAATCCATCCAGTATTTACCCAGAACCGAAATGGGCAAATCTTTCCGTTACTTAGGTCGCTATTTCGATTTCAATATGTCTGATGAGGAACACAAATCAGAATTACTCGACGTGTTTAATGACATCATGAATAAAATTAATGAACTACCGTACCTTTACACCCGAAAAATAAAATTCTACTATATAGTCGTTACTTGCTGTCAAAGATATCCTGGGACTTCACTGTTTCTGATATATCTAAGACCTGGATCTGCGAAACGTTAGACAGTATTGCGACAAAATATATCCGAAAATGGCTGGAACTTCCTGTCTCTGCAACCCTTAGCAACGTGTTGCTTCCACAAAACAAATTTGGTCTGAATATTATTCTCCCTTCGACAAAATTTATCCAATGTCAAACTGTCTCTCGATCAGCTTTAAAATACTCACCAAACGTAGATATTAACAATCTATGGGCGGTGACGAGCACCAACAAGAACGTACAGTATGACATTTACAAAGACACAAAAGACGTACTTAAGGCAGTTAGAATTGAAAAGAAAACGAACAAAGACTTCAAAACCACCTCATTTCGCAAGGTTCTTTCTTTTCCAGTATCATGAATCATTCCACATCCACATTCAACTCTTTATGGTCATCCGTTCAGAGCAAACTTCCGAAAAACATTTTTAACTTCACCATCCGATATATCAATAACACACTTCCAACACGAAAGAACCTATCAAAATGGGGACTATCATCAACATCCGATTGCTCTTTCTGCTCCTCGCCTGAAACGCTGCTCCATGTGATTGCTGGATGTAAGACATATTTAGACGAAGGCCGGTTTACATGGCGACACGATTCTGTTTTAAATTTCCTCGCATCCACTCTTACTGCTGTGAAAAATTCCACACTTTACGCGGACATTCCTGGTTTTATGAATCCATCTGTTATCACGGGAGATCGTTTACGACCTGCATGACCTTCTGCTGGTGACTGAAAACAGATGTCTATACATCCTCGAGCTTACAGTCGGTTATGAATCCAATCTGCTAGTTAACGCCAATCGTAAGCGTCAAAAGTACCGTGATCTAATCAATGTCATTGAGCAGGAAGCAGATTATGATAAAGTCAAGTTCGTCAATTTATCCTTGAGTACCCTCGGAGTTTTTGGCCGATCTTCTGAAAATTTCGATGGCATGCTAAGTAGCCTTAAATGTGATGCCAAGTATAGTAAATACATAAAAAAGCAAATCGTGAACATATGCATACGAACATCATATTATGTATTTTGTAAACGAAACAAGGTGTGGGATAACCCAAAATTAATGGTAATATAATCCTTCTTAAAATAATTATTGTACACTAAATATATAGTATCAATTCAAGTAGACATTGATAAACTACCTGTAAAGCGAGGTTTATTATTGTAGTTGTATATATCCTAATAATCAATAAATAAAGTTTCCATTATTATTATTATTATTATTATTATTATTATTATTATTATTATTAATATTATTATTATTATTATTAATATTATTATTATTATTGAAATGAACGATGAACGTATCATTAAAAAAATGTATGGAGGTAGCTCTGAGAGCAACATTCTACATTTACTGCAGAAGAAACAAGCCCTGTTTCTACAGTTTAAATTCGAGAATACTATATTATGCCTATAGCTTCACGGCCTGTGTTCCACCCAAGACAATTTAAAAATTTAATTTAAAAATATTTATAATGCGCTAAAACTATATAAATATTCTAAAGCGCATGTTTACAATATAATAACATAAAAAATAACAATGTCGCATATCTATATAATTATTAATTACAGGAAAGTTAAAAAATGTATCATAAAACTAGTAAGGGCTACACAGGTATGTCAAAGGCTTTCTAAAAACAAATAAGTATTCAAACGTTTCTTAAAGACTGGTTACAGTCCGTGCTGCGCATGTGCGATTCTTTTTGTTTTGGTAGACTACTTATCTCTCGTTTCCATGGTTTCCAGTCCGATTGCGTAATATACGCGCGATTCTATATTTGTTGATACAAGGATTGGGAATACACAGTTTCGTTTTCAACGATTTGTGACTTTTATGAAGTGAAATCCGATTAATAACAAATTATCGAAACAATATGAGAAGAAAGAAAGAATATTACGCCAACAAGGATGCCTTTAAAGTGTGTTTATTTGAAATTCAGTCAAGCGCTTCGCCATGTCGAAGTTATACTGTCATATAAAAGGTAAATATTTGTTTTATACATTTGATTATTTCGTTCTCCAGAGTCGAGACTGGATCTCTAATTCGCTGTGAATTTGTGACAATTTTTAAGCTAGGGCAATTTTATTCATTTACTGTCTGAGAAAAGATGGGATCTCTGAGTTTATAATTCAACTTGTTCGAGACATGTATTGATGTATATTTGCAGTACTTCACCTCGGCTCAGTACTATAGCTTGATTCAGTCAAGGATAAAAGCTGATTTCATCTTTATATGGCGAGCTGTTATCAAAATGCTACTGGGATTGAGTTATTGGATGATTATTGTTTTGTAATTCATATATCAGGCACAGGGCCTTTTTTAAGGATTTTCCCGTGGGGGGGGGGGGCATTTTTTGAAAAGGGACCTTTCTGTGAGATAATATTCTAGAGGGGGATAGCAATGGCTGAAAGCCACGTGTGTGGCAAATATACCACGCATGAATTGGGGGGTCTGGGGGTGTACTCCCCCAGAAAATTTTTGAAATTTGACTCCCGGAAATGTCATTTCCTGCATTCTGAGCATCCAAATTTGCCCCAAAATTTATCCTAACTGGCCAACTATACTTCTATTTGAAATAAATAAAGGAAGAAATGCACAAAAAGTAAAAAAAATTAACCATCATTTATCATTACTTATTACAGGAGGATAGCAATGGTCAGGTGTGTGGGGGTGTACTCCCCCAGAAAATGTTTGAAATTTGAACCACGGAAATGCCATTTCCTGCATTCTGAGCATCCAAATTTGCTCTAAAATCTATGCTAACTATAGTTGTATTTGAAATAAAAGATGGAAAAATGCACAAAATTAGAATATTAACTGTAATAACTATAAAAAAGAATATTAACTGTAATTTATCATTACTTATTAGAGGGATAATCCCAAGAAAATTTTTGAAATTTGAAACCGTGAAATGCTATTTCCTGCATTCTGAGCATCCAAAAAAATAAAAAAAATATTAACAATAATTTATCATTACTTAGTGGTAAAAAAAGTAACAATTTAAATCGATTTTGTTAAATAAGAACAAAGGATAAAGCCTAAAACTTACTTTCCGTTTATCTATTTGTTAATCTTCGCTGGATTGTTTATATAATTTTAGGAAAAAGGGACTTTTCCTGGGGGGGCAAAATGTGATTTCGTGGGGGGGGGGGCACAATGGGGGAAATGCCCCCCCCAGCTTGTATGTTAAAAAAGGCCCTGATCAGGCATCTCCAGATGAACTTTCTGGTAGCATGCAGAATATATTGAATTTTTTTACATGACATGATTGATTAACATACTGAATAAAATTTCTATTATGCTGTACTATAGGTTACCTTGAGCTCATGGAAACATTACAGATTGTACAACACTAACATCGAATAAACATGGTGATGAGTGTGGAGATGTGGTTATAACAACCATATAGTGGTTAACCAATCAGAAACAAATTTAAAGAGAGGAATAAATATAGAAGAAACAATACAGATTGGATGCTGATGAAACAAAGATGGAAGAATGTATTGTCTTATAATAACAATTCACATTACATAAGAGCACAAGTATTGTTTATGAGTTGGATTAATTTGATTGAGTTGAGAATAGTTTGATTGACTTGGGAATATTATCCAGTGCTGGTTGAGAGACAGAAAATTATGTCCTTAAATAGCCACCTATAAAATGTTTTCTAGTTCTATTTCCTGTAGCTACTTTATATATTTCATTATCTTTTTGTATGGATATATGATAACTGATTTCAAGCACCATGTTTCATGCCATGTGAACAAAAATGTAGTATAGCAGTTTTAACATTCTGGCTAAAATAGTTATCTGGCCAACATTGAGATATAAATACTGATAGTTTTGGTGGAGATAACATTACCATCATGTAACATAGTCAGGGGGGGAATTTTCTAATCCTTACATCTGCTTTGTTTTGTTTTAGATGTTTAACAACGATTGATATTACATGTATTGCATTTTATTATATTATATTGTAGTAAAGTATGAACATCTGATCATTGGTGTGGTATAAAGCAATATGCTATATGCTTGTGATGTTACTCTGAGTGTGTATCCACACCAGGCAGGTGTGGATACACACTGTGCCCGGTGCATATTTTTGTATTCAAACCTGCACGCACGGTGTGGATACACACTCAGAGTAACATCACAAGCATCTTATTCACCTGAGTACACTACTGTACACCAACACAACAAATATCATAATATGCTATATATTGAATTTTTTACAGCAACTAGGTATAACAGTAATAACACTTTTGTCTGGGTGGCTAATTGATGCTGTGCAACAGATACTGCCAAGATGTGGTTCACACCAGCAACTTTCCACACGATTTGTATTGTAACTATTGGTCACACTAACAACTTTCTTCAGGACTGTGATCATGATGTTTTTCAAATAAATGTCGACAACAGAAAATACAGTTACTATTGTATTTTCATCAATGTTCCTACATGTATCATGAGAAAAAATTTGCCAAGAAAATTGCTAGTGCGAGTAAGGGTTAATGGCAATGTTTAAAACATCCGACTCAAAACAATTTCTTGGAACAACAGTATTCTACACATACAATGTTATCTTGATCTAACAGAGCACATATTTTCTTCCTGTCGGCGTGGGGAACACAATGTCTACAGTTGCAGCAGTCCAAATTTTGGTGGGCGTAGCCATGAATATGGTGGTGGTGATGTGCACATTGTCCTCAATTTTTCCATGAATGAGAACCCACAGTATCAATGTTTCCAAAAAAAAAGATTTACATGGGGTATATACCCTTTATAAAGATTACACTATGCATTTTTTGAAGGTTCACAAACAATCATGCCATGTCATTCAACATAGTACATTTTTGTCCAGTGCAGTAGTGATATTAATTTTAATATGCAATTACACAAAAGTGCTACACAGTACCAACATACAGTACAGTCATGTCCGATGTAAAAAAATATATGCTGCTACCAAAAAGTTCATCTGGAGATTCCTGATTATGAATTACAAACCAATAATCATCCAATAACTCAATCCCAGTAGCATTTTGATAACAGCTCACCATATAAAGATGAAATCAGTTTTATTCTTGACTGAATCTAGTACTGAGCCTGAGGTGATTAAATTAGATTTCAAGTACTATATTAGTCTATACATGTCTTGAACAAGTTGAACTATATAAAACTCAGAGATCCCATCTTTTCTCAGACAGTAAATGAATAAAATTGCCCTAGCTTAAAAATTGTCACAAATTCACAGCGAATTAGAGATCCAGTCTCGACTCTGGAGAACGAAATAATCAAATGTATAAAACAAATATTTACCTTTTATATGACATTATAACTTCGACATGGCGAAGCGCTTGACTGAATTTCAAATAAACACACTTTAAAGGCATCCTTGTTGGCGTAATATTCTTTCTTTCTTCTCATATTGTTTCAATAATTTGTTATTAATCGGATTTCACTTCATGAAAGTCACAAATCGTTGAAAATCTCTTCGAAACTGTGTATTATTTTTTATTTTATTTTAGGACCAATGCTCTTTGTGGTGTTCATTAATGATCTTCCTGATTCTATACCAGACAAAACAACTGCTGCTTTATACGCAGATGATACTAAGTTGTACAGAAGCATCGTATCAGTAGCTGACTGCGAAGATCAACAGCAGGCTCTGAATAACCTTGATACATGGAGCAGTGTCAATAACCTTAAATTTAATGCATCTAAATGCAAGGTGTTGACCGTGACAAGAAAGAGAAGTCCAATATTACACACTTACCAACTCGGTTCTAAGGAACTGCTTCGTGTGGGGCAAGAAAAAGATCTCGGTGTTACATTAACTAGTAACCTCTCTTGGGACACCCATATTAACGTTATCGTCGCCAAATCCAACAAGCTGCTGGGTTTATTAAAGAGAACGTGTCCCTTGTTGACGGACGTTAAAGTTAGACGTACGCTGTATCTGTCACTCGTTAAATCACAAGTCAGCTACGCCACAGAAGTTTGGTCTCCAGTCAACATACATCTCAAATCAAAGGTTGAGAAAATTCAAAGAAGAGCTACCGCTTGGATTCTGAAATCCAAACAAGGCGAGATACCTTACCAACAGAGGCTGATAGCTCTTAACCTATTGCCACTATGTTACGACAGGGAAATTAAGGACTTGGTATTTTTCTACAAGGCGCTATTTGAACACTTAGATTTGAACGTTTATGATTTTGTTTCTTTTGTTAATAGCGATCGCACCCGACTTAGTCAAAATCCATCTCTAACTCTTAAAGTTCCTTTTTGTAAAACCAGAACATTCCAAGCGTCCTACTTTAATCGAATAGTTAAACTATGGAACACAACCTGTAAAATACTTCCCCCATCTAGTTTCTCGAGTCTTTCAACTTTCAAATGTTCAATTAAACTCATGTATCATAATTTAAATACTCAAATTTTTGATGTTGATCAACCGTGTACATGGACCCTCGTACGTGCTTGCTCCTGCCATAGGACATAAACTTTTCTTAGGGGAAGTGCCCCGCATGGGACTTGGAGTCCCGTTCGCACTTTTCCCAATTGGGTTCTTTTATTGTTGTTATTTTAAATTAGTGTATCTTGGCCCAATTATTTGTTTGTATAATTATTGTAAATATAGTTGTTAATGACCCAATAAAGTTCTTTAAAAAAAATAATAAAAATAATGCGGCAAGCTTTGCCGAACTTGTGTCGAACTTTTGCCGCTCCAAATTCTGCCGTACTTAATTCATCAATTAAGTTCGGCACATGATAAGTACGCCGTCTGAAACGGGCCTTACAGTTAAAAAATGTGAAATTTTTTATACATTTCTAATGCAAATGACTTGCATCAATAGAAAGCTAACAAAAAAACTACATGATAAGACATTTAAATGGTTAGTTGGGATTTTCAAGCGGTTTTCGAGTTATTGCCGTTTCGAATGTGAAAAATAAGCCAAAATCTAGCAAAATTCCTGCAATCCTTCACAAAAATTATTGAGACTTGCATATTTATCTGTAAAATTAGCAAATTCTTACCCTCAGGAGCTCGTCCTTCCAGTGATTTGGTTCACTTCTTAGACTGGGCACTTTTTAACACTCGTCCCCAATCCTCTCATTAACTTCGGAATGGCTAATTGCAGCTGATTTTTAATGAATTGTTCCTGTAAGGAGATATTTGCCACGTCTCTAAGAAATGGATCCCATATATGATTTCTAAACTGATTAAATGATGCTTCCATTATGCTTTGCACGCTTAGAGTTTAAGGTTTAGGGTTTGCAAAGGACAACCTTTTTTGAACTCGCTCTATAATAAGCCATAAATTACTAAATGCTATAAAATCCCGTAGGCTATACTAAAAGACGCCGTGAAGGTATTTGCATGTGGCTCGCAAACCACATAGAGTGAATTCAAACTACTATATAATTAAACAATTATTCCAACTATACTGTAATTTTGTAGTATTTTAATTTTTTTTTAATTTTAATTGCTTTTCCATCATTGTGTGATACTAGGCGTAAACATGCACATACGCACGCATATTATAGTGGGTGAAATTGGAAACGTTTTCAACTGAAGGTGCAGTGGCGTAACTCCTTTCGGCGCCGCCTGGCTCAAGTCAGGGACCAAATCAATTAGGGGTAACTGGACAAGGATGAGAAAGTGACGAAGTTGATGCTTTTCAGTAAATTTTGCATCTTTTAGATGTCCCCACCCCCTCGCCACTTTAAATGGGCAGGACCAAGGGCCCTATTCCAGTTAAACCCGGGGCCCTCCCCCGGGTTTAACACAAAGTTACGCCACTGTGAAGGTGAATTATTTAAGGGAAGTTTTTATTTTGCTTTAAGCACGAATCAAATTGCTCGTGACGTGGGTAATAGGCATTCCGAACTTTTATTGCTCTGATATCGGAGACAATTGCAATAGCAAATTTCAACTGACGTTGTTTCAAGTCAGTTCTAAACAATACACAAGATTCTGAAACAAGAAGTGTAAAAGTAAAGACGAGAAATATTCAAAGCCATGCAAAGAGCAAATTTAAATCGACATCAGTTAGCTACTATATTGTATGAAACCGAGCGCAATAAGGAGAGGATTAAGAAGAAATGGAAAACTTTATTGGACAGAAGAAATGCACTGGGGAAAATATAGCAAACAGCTGAAATGTGAAGGCTATTAAACATCGCGTGAAAATATTTGTGGCTCTCAAATTATAATTAAACAATTAGTGCCCATTACTAATATATTTGGAGCACCTTGCATGAAAACGTTTCAGCCCACTGTCTAGTCCTAGCAATTTTCATTTTTGTTTCTGTGTGGGTGTTTTGCAACACGAAATAATCGATGGTTTGTGCGGATGTTTGTACGTGTCGTGGTAAAACAGTCGTGGCGAAAAGGTAGTGGGTTGTAAAGTGCCCTAAATTTGCATCAGATGTTTTTTACATCGTCGCCTGAGGATCGTAATATATGAATATATAGCTATATATATACGATCGTGGTTTCGTTCACGAAATTTCAAAAGTGATCGATATCATATAGATGAAGCTGAAATACTCGTTTTACCTCAAAAGTTTGCCACAACAGCCTGTTTCATCCACGAATTAAACGGCTATTAATAGTTAATTTCAATGATCTCGATAGTAAATAGCGAAAAAATATTCGAATTTACCGTTAATTATAAAGTACCTGAAGATTTTATTTTAAAATCATATTGTTCACAACTTTTTCATCAAATAAACTGGATCGGAAACGTACTGAACACGATGCCACAGCTTTCCTGCACACATTTTGAACTGTTAAAATTGCACAGCATTAGGGAGCATTCATTTTTTAGCTGGGGTGGGGGGCGGAGGAATTTGGGGGTGGGTCAGCCAATTTTGACATGCTTCAAAGGGGTGGGTCTTTTATAGTTTTGTTATAAATGGAGGGGTCATAAAAATAATCAGTGAAAAAATCACCAATATGATTTTATTGAATTTGGAAATATTTGGATCAAGAATGGTAAAAACGTCTAGAATCTATCAACTATCTCGTCCTCTATAACAATGAAGCAAAATTCATTTGACGCTCTGTTCACACAGTCCATTGGAAAACATTTCCATGACGTTTGTCAATTGACCTCGTTTTTATCCGTTTTTTTGTGAAAACACCAATGAAAGAAAACGCAGGACCGCAGCATGATTTCAAAATCATGCATGATTTCAAGGTCTGCATGACTTCAAAATCATGCAGACCTTGATCAATTTTAAGCTTTATTAATTTTAAGCGGCTACATTATCCATGACAAACTGCAAAGAATGAAGATAGTACCCACAGTTTCCTGCAACTTATCCTAGTTATCCAACATATAGTAAATTAAATACTCCTTCGCCCATTTAGTACTACCAAATTATCAATTTTGACATTACTAAAATGCTGTTTTCTGACCATCAGAATTCTGTCAAATCTTCCCCCAAAGGCCAGGATATGCATGGCATTTCAGAGACTCTAGATTTAGAAATTTCCTCGGGCCTTCGGCCCTCGCTTTCAGCCCCCCAATCAAAAAGAGCTTCCTACGGCCCTGAAACGCTATGGAAACGACACCGTGTGGATTAATAGATAGGATGAGGGGTCAAAAAATTTCAGTAAAAAAAATAGGGGGTCATAAATTTTTATCAACTTTTGTCTTGGGGGTTCCAAGTTTTCGCATGGAATTAGACATCAGTTCCTCCGCCCCCCCCCCCTCCCCAGCAAAAAAATGAATGCTCCCTTACATATACGCGATTTGTTATGATGGCTGGCAATTAAATTAGAAAATATATTCCCTTAAGTTAAGGTCGCTCGAATACTCAATACAATTTTCAAAAACCTCGGGTGTATAAGAGTTTGACTGTTTTAAACGTCGTATTTTTAGTTTTCTATGTGAAGTAGGTAACAGGATGTTCATCTATTTTAATATTTCTCCTTTCAAAATATGTCAGTTTTGGTAACACGTAGCCGTTGCTATGGCAACACAGGAAATTCACTCTAAAATAGCCTGTTGCTTTGTTTATATAGTAGGAAAATAAGCACGGTGATCCCTTTTTTCTTGTTATGATGGCTGGCAATTAAATTAGAAAATATATTCCCTTAAGTTAAGGTCGCTCGAATACTCAATACAATTTTCAAAAACCTCGGGTGTATAAGAGTTTGACTGTTTTAAATGTCGTATTTTTAGTTTTCTATGTGAAGTAGGTAACAGGATGTTCATCTATTTTAATATTTCTCCTTTCAAAATATGTCAGTTTTGGTAACACGTAGCCGTTGCTATGGCAACACAGAAAATTCACTCTAAAATAGCCTGTTGCTTTGTTTATATAGTAGGAAAATAAGCACGGTGATCCCTTTTTTCTTGCACCATTTTACTTAAATATCGACTAACAACAAGCAAAATATAAAAATATTCTGTAATGCCATTTTTTTGAAAAACGCCAATCTTCGATACATTTTTTTTGGCATTACAGATTTTATTATTTGGGGAATATTGAAAGACTTTTGCACCACAATACAGTGTAAAATTTCAACATAGGTCACCGGACAAAATAATGATAAACATAGGCCACCGTTTTTTTTTAAATTGACATTTCTAATGACGTCAGCAATTGACATTCAACATGCTTATACAGGGTGTCTAAAAAACGCATGGAAATTCAACAAGCTGTCGTGCATCATAAACTTAGCTGTACAATACATTTTTACACTTCTCTAGTTTATACAGTTAGCTACCGTTGTAAAATAATGAATAATTACAAGTTACAGCGCAGGATTTGGTTCAAATGTACATCTGTAATCCCCATAGATATCTTATATAGGCTAATAGCGCATCTCTTTTAGTAAAATTGAAGCCAAGAATATTCCAGCGGTTACCCCCATTTGAATAGATGGCGGCCATGTTGGTCGTTCCCACTTGCTAATAAACGCTTAAAAACAACAATAACTTTCATCATTTGAATAGTTTAAAAATGTACTTGGAATGGGGTTAACTTAATGTTTAAGTTCCATGTTTAAGAAATAGAAAACATACGAATCTTCTCATTTCATGGGAACGACCTGAGACTGCAATCACGGCTTCAATTTTTGAATTGCAGAATAATTAGATTCACTATCTAGTGTATATAAGATATCTATGGTAATCCCCCATAAAGTTCAACATTCTCATAAGCTTCGGGAGAGATATTGAATTTAAAACTGGGAAACGCTGGGGTTGATGAATTATAAATTCTTAAATTAACCTTGATACAGATGTAAAATTTTCTTGTATGATCATGTTACACTGATTTTGTGAGCAATATATGCTGCCCAGCTCTCAGACCAAAAATGTTCTCATTGTAAAAATATACAATATGAAGTAACGACTCAGCTGTTGTGGCTCCTAATAGTCCTTTCTCCCAGAGTAAACTCTCCTCTTCGGCTGTGACTTCCTTGCGATCCTCTTTCTTGCATGCTACGTACCGCACGATACCACTTTTTGTTTGTAGCATTCTTCATCTCTGCATCTAATGTCTTTGGAAATAAAGTAAATCTGCAAACAAAACCAAGAATTAGAATTCAACAACTTCAGGTCCGTTCTAGTTAGTCCGTTTATACAGCACTGTGACATTTATTCAAAGCCGCGCCTATTGATTAATACGAAATTCAGAAATGAGAGAATCGAAAGCTACTAACCTTCGATCTCCTTTTGCCAAAATACTGACGCCATTATGCTCCTCGACTCCAGTAAATGGCGATTTATTCCACATACCAACAAGTACAAACTTTCGGCGGGTATAACGTTCACAATTTTGCTTCAAAGCTAATTTCGTGTTATATGCAGTGTTTTTCGGTGTTGCTTCTGCAAGCAAACATCTTTCTTCGTCTGCAGTAGGTTTGCTACGACCAAGCTAACTTTAAAATGCAATAAACAAGTGTGCAGTAATCAACGTTCCATAACTTGGAAATTCAAATTAATTCATCGGTAATAGTCCCAATGGGAATATATGACTGTCATAATTAGTCATTTTACAGATAAAGCACGTCTAAACATGCATACTTGGAGTTGTGTTTAGCTGAGTCATGCCTTTGCCGATTGAGCGGACTCTAAGTCATAACCGCATGTGGTATATTATACTCATAGTTTCGAGCACGTAACATACCAAAATATCTCCTCTTAAGTCTTCCTCAATTTAATATTATTACTAATTACCTCGAGGTCAAATACACATTAAATCATACAGAAAACAAACACTATCCTTTTTTTAATGCCATCAGTTATTTCATAAGTAAAATTTAAAAGGATTTAAACCGGCTTTTCTGCATGTGCGTCCATGCACGCACGTATGAAAAACGCTTAACTGGAAAACAGTCTTTATAAGTGTATATATGGCTATACGTTTTTATGATGGTTGACATAGTTATCCAATTTGAAGATTCTTTCATGTATTTTTTCCTTTATCACGATTCTAGATTGCTGGTGACGTGGTACAAATCACTACAGTATTGACCGCAGACAATAAACAAGTTTTATTGCTCTCATGCATGCAAACAAAAACAGACTGGAATTTAAAATACAGAATTTTAATGAAATTATATCACATTCTATCTAAGATATTGAAATTCAACTCTAAAATTTCCGACGTTGTTAAAAGTCATCAGGAAGTAACCGCGAGTGGCTATCAAGCCCTCCCCCAAAGCCAAAGGAATGTAGCATTAAATCATTCATTTCCAATTCCTGTATTATTTTACAATATGCATAAAACGCACTCATTAGTACTGCCAATGTCTGCTGCATCCTCACACTTTCAACTTGCATTCATCTTCCTGGTATTCTCAACGAAACATTGCTGAGTCGGAGCTTTTTACTGAACATGGAAGACATTTTGAAAACTAACCTCGACCAGTTTTTCCTTATTGTGAATGGATTCATTGTTGTATGTAAGTCATTAGATTTTTCTTTTCACTAAACAGTAATGAAATAAAAACAGAAATTTAAACGTTTTGTATTAGGTCAGTGAGAGGAAATTTTGTTCACTCTTATCGTAAGTGAATTGCTCGTTTGTAATCTTGATTAATTTTCAAAACACACATGCCTGGCAACTGTAAAACTTATATTCTCTATTCGTCATTCATAATGTAGTAAGATGACTAACTTGGTGTTTAATTACTGTACCTCGAACATTTCTTACAAATCCTTCAAAAAATATGCAAAAAAATACCTATGCAAAATTCGTGCTGTGATCGATAGTGTAAGCCATGCAGTCTTTAGTAGGCAGATTATTAAAATCATACTTACATTCATTGGCTGGGAAACCACAATAGCTAGTTATTGCCAATTACAGTGGCCCCAGAATAGTTATACGAAAACAATTTACAAGGTATACTAAACACACACAATAAACAATACTCGGAACAACATGCAGTCATTACATTATGTCTAAAAACAACAAGTCAATGGAGAGTTGGTTAAACTCCGAGTGGAATTACATTTTACACAACTTTCCATGTGCGGGGATCTTCGACATCGTATATGTCCGTTTTCGAATGCTAAACTATAGTTTGATCGATCACTCGCATGTTGCATGCATGCGTGATTATCATCATTGTGTACTTTGTTCTTCTTATTTGCGTTTCTTTGTTACACATAACATTTTTGTCATAAAGACGTGTTTCATTACTTTAAGAACATATAACGTTTTGTGCTTCAGTCGGCGAACTTTAAAAGACAAAATTTCAGACAAAGAGATGATGAATGAGAACATTTCATGTGCAGTATATGTGGTATAATTTATATGATCAATACTTTTTCTTCTGTGTTGGTGTTATATGTACTCAGGTGAATATGATGTCTGTGATGTTACTCTGAGTGTATATCCACACACCGGGAAAGCTTGAAAAATATGCCTAGTCACGGTGGGAATCGAACCGGCCTTCGATCGACCTTTGGAATACTCCCAATTTTCATGATATAAGATGGAAATTTTATTCACAGCCTCGAGCCTATAAATTATCATATAATTATACATAATTATATGAATGTAATCGCTCGAATTATTGTATTTCAACAATCCTGTACGTGGCATGCTGATGAGTGATGATAATATAACAAGCTTTCGTTGGTAGAAATGCAACAGTTTCGGCATTTTGAGTGAAGGCCCTACGTCTGGAGTTAGTAAACGTTTCTAGGGCCTTATAGCTCGAAAAGTCGAAATTCTCCTTATGTTTTTCAGGTAGTTGCATCCCCCACCATGTCTATGACGTCTGTGGTATCACATTATACTCATTAGGCTAGATGATTAACCTCCTCCTCAAGCATATCTTAGACTTAGGTGATCGTATGGAATTTTTTCCGAATTATCCTAAGCTTATATAGAGGTGGGTGCAGAGGAGTTAGGCTAGACTCAATTTAGGAAAATGTCCAGTCTCAGATTTCCATTTCATGTGTATATCACTGGATGATTCTCTAAACACAATAGTCTGCGCATGATACGAGGTCTGATATGTACTATTTAAAGCACGCGTATGAGTGTTTTATCACATATAAAACACGACGCGTAGCGGAGTGTTTTATATGTGATAAAACACGACTACAAGTGCTTTAAATGGCTTAAAAACGACCCATCTTATACGAGTTCATTGGCGAAGTAATTTTTAAAATAAACTTTGTCTAAACCGCGAGAAAATCAAAGCTAAAGTTTATGTAAATTAACATGATTTTTTATCACATATAAAACCACGACACGCTTATGATTTTTCTTTGTGTTTTGCTCCTGAATTATGAATGCTTTTTTAAGAGTATATTGACTATTGTGTTTAGACAACATCCAGTGATATACAGTCGTGCAGATAGTCGTGCATTCTGTATTTGCCGAAATATGTCCGCTGATAGTTTGGAAAGAAGTACAGCATCAAAACAAAATAAATTAGTTTAGAACATGAAACGGCTAGTGCATGCATTACACTTGAACAGGAACTTTTCTTGCATGCTATAGACACGCGCGTTTAACACGCCAACGCCAAGTTTATATAACTATATGCGCAAAACAGGGGCGGATCTAGGGGTGATCAGAGCGATCACGCGACTAAGGTAAAAATTGGCTAGAAAAATGGAAAATTGTTAAATTAAAAAAGCAGTCCAGTTATCAAACTTCGCGCAGTGTAATATATTGAAAGTTTAACAGTCCAGTTTTGAAATATCATTCAGTATCAAGGCCTTCGAACATGAACGCGCAGAAAAGCGGTCTTACGCATGAGTTTTGCACGCTCTGAGTCAGATACTCAGATTCCAGCCATCTGATTGGCTATCTCGATTTTTGCGCGATCTGTGGGGAGTTCTGATCGCTAAAGCGATCAGGGGCTCGAAAACAGGCTATCCGATTGGCTAATTCAAAACAATCCTGAATTCCCATTGGCTGGATTTTTTTGATCGATCATACCGTTCAGGCTTCATTAGTGCACGCGGTGCACGGAAAGGTCTATGACGTTTCTGGCCCTTTCTGATCGCTACTTTGCCTTGACCGCAAATTATTAAAGATCTATGGGAAGATTTACTATCAGAAATTCTGAACTAATATCAGCCATGTCTGTTAGTATTTACGAAACTGTAAAGGCTGCTTTAGAGAATAACGATCGACAAAATGTCAAAGATATTGAAGCTGATTTAACAAGCGATAACGGTGTACCGAAGTTTTCTATTTAAGATTTATTGAGCGTTGTGAATAACATAAGCAGCCTGCCTCGCACGAAATTTTGGTGCGGAATCTTACATCCTGAAGTACGTTCGAGAGATCACAAAAATCTTTTGGACGGTCTTAAGATATATATATCCTATTTTAACTAGATATAGCATTATAACTGTTGTATACTATGGTGGATTGTGCGTCTGTACGCACATGCATGCTATAATATCGGCGGGTACGCGTATAAGACGTATCATAATACGAGACGAAATTTACATAATATTTCCGTCAATTTATATAAATACTGCGGCTTAATACAGGCAGTTTCAGTGTGTTTATACTTTGTTTATGCTTCTTGTGACATGTAGACTTTATATATTAATCAGATCGCTACTTAATAACACTGTTTATACCTATTTAATATTTTAAACTACAAGAATACGACAATGTAGCATGGCCTTGTGTAATACGATCTCTACAACATGTACACAACAAGTAAAATGGATCATGTTGCCATTGTGAATACTTATTTATGGCGCGTGTTTCTGCTACGAATGAAACTCGAGGAGCAGTGAATTAAACGTGGAAATTCTCTTCCTGCTTAACAATCAATCAAATGTTTTAAACTGCATCACCATATTGCATTTTTTTGACCATCCATGTCAAAGGAAAAAATATGCGATTAAATAACAATTTTTAAAACGTCAAGTCATCATTGTCAATCTATTTCTCGATGAGAATTGGATATCTGTTTGGCGAAAAAGCAATTTTTTAAGTTGCATTTTTTCGAAAACAGAACCCATATGAAAAATATTAATTTGCTTGGCAACCCCCCCCCCTCCGACCCCCTGTCAAAAGTACCTCCTCCGCCAGTCAAAAGTACCTCCTCCGCCAGTCAAAAGTACCCCCCTCCCCCCAATGCTCAGCAACGAAATTTTTGACTAACGTACGAAAAATCCTAGATCCGCCCCTGGCGCAAAACAATGCGTATATTCATATTATCACAAACGACAGCAGAGGAATTTATACTATGCTTTGAACTATATGACCTATATTTAGTATTTTTCGTGTGAAGTGTGTAAACAGAATTAACTTTAAAACAATCACCCTTAAAAAATGGTATCACTTCAACTGACTGACACAATGCCATCTACAGTATACTATGTAGCCCAAATATTTATCATTCGTACCTTAATATTATTCACAATATTGATAACAGTAAATCAGTATATTATTGGGACTTACATGAAAATAGGGTTCTATATATATGACTAATACAAACATATGATAAGAGCTAAAAAAGTTTTATTTTACATATAAGAGTCGTCATAGATGTTGTTCGTTTATGATTAACTGCGACAAGACAAAAGAACTAATCATTAGTTTTAGCCGCCCACACCCTCCGCAATTTCCACACCTATTTTTATAGGATGCTGTTACGCCGAGCTTTTACATTAAAGAATCATTGTCAACCACAATGCACTGTGCGCCCAAACCTGCTTGGCGGCCATTTTAATGGCAGAATAACAGATGTTTCGGTTTTCAATCCATACTATATTACTACCATCCTATGGTTATACTCATTTTAACTTTGTATGCTAAAATTCGGCACCAAAGAAATGTTTATAATCGTCATTTGTTGCTATTTGTCACTTCCGAAGGTAAAATGTAAACAAAGACATTATCATTGACAATGACTCTTTAACAGAAATAGTTCCTATTACAGATCACCGCAGTGCTATTACAAAAAAATATTTTCAGTCTGTGTGCGAGAACCAAGATAATAAGATCTTCCATTTGGCCCCAAACGTTAATAACAACGTCAAATATAGATTCTCAAACTCTTTTATTATGCATGGTTCCACCAACGCACTATATAGGATTCATTGAGTGTGAACTACCTGTATACTATATTGTATTTTATAGATATTGGATTAGATATTATAAATATTGGATCGATCTACAATATCGGTAAACCTTGAAATTAGGTAACTGATTTTCCTCCGCACTTTCGTTTGACCTTTGTTGAAACAATAGTTTTACCATTGGAACGAGTGTTTATCCGATGCATTCACTTTTTATGAGTAATTGTTTTATTATATATTTAACTAAGACATCCGAAACGTATAAAACGATTAAACGAAGTTTATTAATGTTTCAAGAAAACTGTTACTTTATTTTCGCGCGCTTTTGGGTTTGAGTTGTTGGCCGCGCCAGGGCTTGGGCACGACAACGTCCAATAATATTTTTTGGATGCAAGTTCGATCCAAAAAAACTATTATTGATTTATTGGACGCCGAGCACGTCAGCAGCTGAAATTACGTAATAAGTACCGAATATTGAGAATTATCTGGTGATCTCTGACCAATCAGGAACGAGAATACATATACTAAATGTATAATAATAGACTTTATTAGATTTTTTCCTGGTGGCCTCGTTTCCACGTTTGCGTGTTTTAGCATGGCAGGCGGACGTGAAAGTGATATCCTCATATTTGGTGCACAATTATATGTTCCTCTTTGAACTTGATCCCAATCACAAACATATCCTTAGCAACTGTGCACAAAAATGAGGAAATCACCATACTGTGTAAACAAGTTCTTTGGGGCAAAATAGTATACATGGCGACATTGCTATGAGTGTAGTCTATGTTGTATACATGCACACGGTGTGAGACCAAGGTTCATCCAGTTGCAAGGGTAAAGTCACTCCTAGTTGAGTTATAACTTAAATAATAACCTCTTTCCGTGATCAGAATGTTATTTTTATATGATACTGGTAGCCTGTGAAACTCTCTTCTCCGCAATGTTTATCTGCACGCTGACGCAACATTTACTGAATGGTATGGTTCTAGCCTAAAAAATTTGGAAGGGTTAAACATGATATCAATATTATATTGCATACTTAATCACAAACACATTTCAAAAGCCTATGACAACTGTATATACAGCTAATTTAGAAAAGGTTGTCAACTTGTCCTTGAAATATCTCAAACCTTAAATTCTGAGCGCTCAAAGCGTAATGGATAACTTATTTTTAGAGTGCAGATTGGGAAATAATCCTAGTACAGTGATAGCTGTACTTCATAAGTGCTCATTGTTTTTCTTGCCATAGTTGCAATACAACATTCGCAGTTTCGCACGTTAACTAGAAGTTGCCAATCATCTCTCACGCGCTTAGGGTTTAAGGTTTGAGATTATCGAAGGACAACTTTTTTGAATTGACTGTATAGTAACTGATTAAAACCGTGAATGTAGAAAGCAGAAGTAGCCTATAAGAGGGTCTTAATGGGGGTCTTTGGGTGTCAGTTGTCAGCTAAAATTTAAGCCAGTTGTCAGTTGTCAGTGCGATATATTGCAAGCTGTCAGTAGTCAGTTACTGCAAAAAAGCTGACTCATCATTTTTTCATCATTTCTCAGTTGTCAGTTAGGATGTTTTGTCAGTTGTCAGTCAAAAATTCGGGCAAATGTCAGTAGTCAGTTAACCCCATTCAGACCCTCCTATAATTCTTACTTACGTTCATCAATATACATCAACTTGAATTGCTAGTACTTGAATCGATGGAAAGTATTGCAACAAAATCCTAATGTCTGTGCAAAGGTTTACTTTTAGTTCTGCGATCAAAGTCAACGTTTGTGATATAACCGTGCATGCAACGTTGCGATTACGTTGTGTACTAGCTGGGTTCATGCGGTGTTCTATAAACACACTTAATATGAAAAAAATATGACTAAAGCCAGTCAAACAAACCTGAAACGATCCTGTAATGACTGAAGTCTTTATAATTATAAAGACTTCAATTAATTAATTAATAAATTAATTAATTAATAATTAAACAATAGTTATTGCCAATATCAAAATTTTGTAGATGGAAAATTCGGGCCAGTTGCTCCTCTAAACAAATGAATAATATTTACACTCGGAATTCGTCAAATTCCCATCTACAAAATCCTTGAACAAGAGTCATTGTCTCATGTAATATATTTGGCCCAAATTAATAAATTAAATACTTAATTAACATCTCATTCCTAAGAACCTTTCAATGTTATATTGTAACTTATTTTGACGATTTTCGCTTGCACACTTTGTCTCTGTCTCTGAGTTCAGTTCAGTTTATTGATATGCAAATGTACAAAATTACGTCACATATGAATGATGAGTGATCAAAGAATGTAAGGTATACAGTTAAATATCATGAAATAAAAAAGCGAAGTGCCGAAATGGTGTTTTACATCATTTTAATGAATTAAACTCGATAGTGAATACGATATACAAGTTTTTACTTTAAATCACTATGGATTTATTTATTTGTGACGTAAATTCCGTACATTTGCATACCAAACAAACTGAAATATGAGTACAAAGTGAGCAAATCTTCAAAATAAGTGATTATATCATTTCGGAAGTTCTTAAGAATGAAGTCAATAAAAAGAATGGTGCACTTTAAAAGAAGGAAGTAGGCAATATTGAGATTCAACTATTTATACAAAACCTGATTTTTGAATTATTTTTCAGTCTGAATGCCAGATCTTGAAATGTATCCCTATAAAACTGTTGTGTTGTTTTATAAGACCAAAGAGCAATTAGTATATGTTCAATTAAACTGTTGTCACTAAAATTGATTTGAAATCAGTTGCAAACAAAACGTGCAGTTTAATTTGCATGGTGCTCATGTTGTCTCAACTATACTGGTATATACTGTATATAAATTATACTCCTATATAGCCTACGCAAAATAATTTTGACGTACAGAACGTGCAGGGAAAAAGTAAGAATAATACTGATATATAAAACCGCTACTTTACGTCGAGGAATTTTTATATATGTAACTGACATTGTGTTAATATACATTTCGTGTAGGGTACATCCCACAGTTCAAAGTACATGAAAAAAGATTGCGTGACTCTGCCGGCTATCGCGGACGTGCAAATATTCACGTCAATTGTTCAAATAGATGACGATAGATAAGGACGTTGTTTTCACATCAATATAAATTTTAGTCTCCTAAACAAGGCAAATTGCTTCTTATTGCCATGCCAATTAAACATAACACCACTTTATATGAAGTATGTTTTGTGTATTCCTTAATTGGTGAGCTATTACATTTTATTCATTTATTAGCTTCGCCAATACTTTACATTACAATCACATAACATGAAAGCTAAACTTGTTCACAATATCAAATACGTTTGTGTTCCTTAAGGCCGGCGCACACTAGAGCTATGTGCTTAGCAAAATGTCATTCGTGACTGTTGGCGTAAGGAGATAGCTCTCGTGTGCGGGCGATTTACGAACGACTTTTGTCATTCGTGCCACTTACGCCAAATATCTAACATGTTTGATAATTTCTGTTTCGCGTGCCAAAATCTTTCCGTGTGCGGCGAACGAAAGCTATCTGCTTACGGATTGTCGTAACAGCGCATGCGTAGTATACGAAAGTAAACATCCAAGATGGCGGCGCAAAATGAATTGCTGGCCGAGGCAATTTTAGAGGACAAACTTACTGGCCATTTCTTTCACCGCACATTCCCTTTTGTCCCTATTTCTAAAATCTGCAGAACTCACATCGTATAAACATTTATATTCAGGCCAAAGTTCGACAAGTTTGTCCTCTAAAATTGCCTTGGCCAGCAATTCATTTTGCGCCGCCATCTTGGATGTTTACTTTCGTATACTACGCATGCGCTGTTACGACAATCCGTAAGCAGATAGCTTTCGTTCGCCGCACACGGAAAGATTTTGGCACGCGAGGCAGAAATTATCAAACATGTTAGATATTTGGCGTAAGTGGCACGAGTGACAAAAGTCGTTCGTAAATCGCCCGCACACGAGAGCTATCTCCTTACGCCAACAGTCACGAATGACATTTTGCTAAGCACATAGCTCTAGTGTGCGCCGGCCTTAAAGTTATATTTAGTACGCTACATTCTATTTCAAGAAAATTAGGCAGCTCATTAATATTCTATTTTGTGGCTATCGACGATTGGAGATCCACTATCCGTGAAAAATGCAAGCCGAAACCTATACTCGTCTGGGCACAGAGTGCCCCAGCGAGTAAAAATCATATTCAATTCCTACATCATTAAAAGTTCTTAAAAATCTATCGACGGAGAGAGGGGAGAAATATTCATTCCAAAATTGCGTTTCAAATATTCATATTCCCACTCTTAATTAAATATTCGTATTCCACCCCCAATTTAGTTCGTACAGCATTATTAAAACCCTTTGTATCATTATTAAAACCCTTTTTTATTAACATTAATAACAGTAGCTGCTGTTTCGCAACTCGAATACAAAATTATATAAATATACATAAATTTCGATATAGTACTGTATATATAATTAATGAATACATATGATTAAAGGTAAAAGATTTAACCCTAACAAAATAATTATATTTGTTATGCATACATGGTCCCTATAAAAACTTTATATGCATTTGTGCATAGTATTATTACATAATAATGTACAGTTATTCAGGTCTTTCATGACGTATCATCAAAAATAATCCCGCCAGTTTAGGTGGCAAAAATCGATCTTTTATTCATCCGACTACAATATACACAGCTGTGGACATTTAAAACTCTTCAAAGTTCTCAACCAAAACAATGGCCGCATCAGTGCCGTAGCCTTGCTTTGATGCCATCTTTGCTTTTAATTAACTATTTTTAATTTGCCACCCAAAATGGCATGAGTCAATCGCAATTTTTGTTGCGATTTCTAGTGCTATTTTCTTCTTCTGATGCATGTGAAGTTGTGAGCGAATAGATAATGTTTTGAATATTCTTAATACACGTACCCTGATCTAAACATTTATAACTCATCCACTCGTTTACATCTTAGAAGAGGAATATCATACTAAAATGGCGGCAAAAATTGCGATTGTAAAAGGTCTTTACATTTCTTCTTACGATGATCCAAATGGGTATCATAATGGGTATCAATTGTATCATTTCAACCGTATCGTACTTAGTGATCACTATACGTATATGTCCGGAGTTTAATAATAATTAATTTCAGTCATTCGGTCTATGAGAAAAAAGCAGAACCAAGATGGCGGACTCTTCGTAATGTAAACAGTTTTCATATCATCTTCCAAGCTAATTTCAGTTTTTCTCTAACGGATCTAATCGCTAATCAAGCTACCAGTTCGTGAAACCTTAGTGTTATTCTATAAGTCGAAGTCGAACACAAAATTTCGACATGACTTCTTGCAGCTTTATGTTAAGTGCGCAAACAAAAAACATAGGGAATGGCACTGACCGTCAATGTCCGTCATCTCTTGCTTCACCTTTTGGAGTCGAGTTCTTACTCTAGATATATATGAAGCTCACAGATGGAACCACAACGCAGCGTATTTCTTTGTTCCCTGAACACTGCCGTTATCACCTACTGTTCATTAGTTCCACCCAAGACTTAGTGACGGTGGAAGCTGAATCGAAAACAAGCTTTACACCGTGGTCCTCAGGAAACAAAGAAATACGTCACATTTAGGTGGGTGAGCGCAAAGGTTAAAAGTTTTATAAAACTTTAAAAATGTACACAGCAATGGTTTTGGCAAAGTTTCCCGTCCATTTTCTAGCGAAATTCCGAGAATTATTTTTTCCCTGTGTTGGATTAATGACTGATCAGGCACCGAACGTTTTATAATATTTTTTATCCAGTGTTATTAAAGATCAGAGTTAGAAAATAGGCTGTCTTCGCCCGCGGTTGAAATGCACCGCGGGCATCGTTATTTCAGGTCCCAAAATATTTTCATCCAAGACTTCAACGCCAGAGTCATTGACACTATTTGGCTGCCTATTATTAATACTCATCTCACTAATACTTTCCAGAGACGAAGGCCGTCTTTTCCAATTCACGACTCCATCTTTACGGCGCCTTGGCACTCGCTTTATTGACACACTTCCCTCCGTCAACATACAAGCATCATTAATGTCACAGGCATCCTGTTCAGTCTCTGCTTCAATGGCCATTTGAACAGTTAAATATTCCTCCCTTTCAACTGAGAGATGGTGCTGATCACTCAACTGCTCTGATGTATCTGGGCATGGCGAATCGCAGGTCTCTATAGTGTCGCTATCTTTTAACATTACTGTCGGCGCATCAGGTTCTATGAGAAGTGGAATAATTTCAGGCGTGCTTTGTGCACCGTTACACCTAACATTCCGCTTGTATGTGTTGTTCATACTTCCCAAGCTTTCACCACTTTCTCCTTCTGTGTTATTGTTAGTCGATTTCACGCCATCAGCAGGTGTGGTCAGTGACCTCCGTCTTGTCACGTAATGCGTGGAATCGAATGAAGAGTATCCCCTGGGAGATGGCACTTCGGATCCTTCGTAGGAATTATTTTCAACAGGCGACTCAAGCGCTGGAATTTTTATAGAAATAGTCGAGATCTTTTTTGGTACTCTTCTCACCGAAGCATGTAACTTGCTTTCATCTTTAGCAATCACACTGGATCTTTTTGTCCCATTGGGTAAGTTGTAACCTTGTACTGAAGAGGCACGACTATCTCCGCACATCATAAAACTACAAGTATCGCTTGTTCTAGAAGATACCTTTCGCCTAAGAGTCCTTCTTCTTGGCATCTGCCTCTCAGAGTACATCGTCGATGTCTGCTGTATGAATAATCTATGCTTCTTCTTTGGTAATTTAAGCCTCGCTTGTGCGTGAGTGTAGAATAAAGAAAAGTTACTCCCGATAATAGAAACAGGAAGTGCGACTATTAGTACGCCACAGATGGCACACATGGAGCCCACGATCTTTCCAAGCCACGTGACGGGATGCATATCACCGTAACCGACTGTCGTGATGGTAATGAGGGACCACCAGAATGAATGAGGGATAGAACGAAATTTTGTGTTGGGACGATCAAAGTGATCCTCTATGAAAAACACGATTGACGAAAACAATATCACAGGAATTAACAGCATTGAAAGTAGCAACACCAATTCATAGGAGCTTGCTTTTAGAGTGTGCGACAACACTTGTAGCCCATAAATAAGACGAAAGAACCTAAACAACCTCAGTAAACGAATTACCAAGAGCGCGTTTATGGCATTCTCATGGTTGCTAACAAATAACTTCAGATAAAAAGGAGTTATAGCTAAGAAGTCAATCCATGTTGACCAGCTTTTTGCGAACGCTCGTTTATCAGGACAAAATACGATCCTTAGTAGAAACTCAATAGTGAACCAGACACCACAAATGAATTCTAAAATTGTAAAGAAATAACGCCATCTTTTATCCGCGGAAAGTTCAGGTACAGTGTTTACACAAAACATCGCCACGGATACGACAATGAACAGCACGGACACAAACGAGAATACCTGAAATGAAATGAAAATGAAAACTTGGTTAAACAAAGCCAACACTATAGTTATTGTACTTACATGCCGGTAAATAGTACAGGACCTAGCCCATGATTAATGTGGATATCTGGATTTAGCATACACTCGAGAGGAGGATAGTGCTTTTCAAACAATTTGATTGGTTGCTCAGCTCCAGGTTATCCTTGCCGTACTATTCACTTCCGGACAAAACAAAATGGCTTCCCGTTTCGTTCCGGTTGCAGACGAACACTAAACGAAGCTGCCGTTTCGCCGAACACGACGAAAGCCACAAAGTTTTGTTTAACAGTGTGTAGAGGTGTTCTTAAAGCTATTTCTAATGAATGAAATTATTAAAAGCTTACAATAAATCAACAAATAACAAATAACAACAACTATTATTATACATTTAGTATGTATTGTCATTCCTGATTGGTCAGAGAGCACCGCGGATAATTCTCTATATTCGGTATACTTATTACGTAATATCAGCTGCTGACGTGCTCAGCGTCCAATAATAGTTTTCTTCGGATCGAACTTGCATAAAAAATTATTGGGCGCTGTCGTGCCCAAGCCCTGGCGCGGCCAACAACTCAAACCCAAAAGCGCGCGAAAATAAAATAAACAAAATGGCTCACAGAAGCTCACGGCTCACAGTAGATTTGCTTCGTTGGATGAAAACGACCTGTCAAAATTATTAGCAGATAAAGACAGTGAAAGTACTAACAAAGCCACAAAAGGACTGGTAAAACTATCGTTGACGAATATCTTCGTCCAAAGAATAAAAATTGCATTATTGTTGTAATATACTTGAAACATTAATATAAAACTTCGTTTAATCCTTTTATACGTTTCTGATGTCTTTAAATGCATATTAGTATAATTATACATAGATGATTATTGAAAATTCTCCACGCTGATTGGTTGCCTTTGAGGTGATTATAACGCGATAATCACCTAAGCGACTTTCGAAATGGCGCCCGAAGCCGTCTTGTCAATTAAATGACGAAGAAATGTGTATTTTTTTTTTTCCAAATAATCACCTATGAAATTATACTACAATTATTCACCTCAGGCTCGGTGATTGTCGTGAATAAAAACCTCGACTTCGTCTCGGTTTTTATTCACCGATAATCACCTCGCCCTCGGCGAATAATTATTGGATTCGGCTTTCGCATGACATCAAGAATTATTCAGACCTCGGTCAATGTTATCCGCCTCAGCTTCGCTTCGCTTATCCGCCTCAGCTTCGCAAATAACATTGACCTCGGTCTGAATAATTCTTGATGTCATGCTCAGCCTCATCCAATAGTTGTTTATTACGGAAGCTGAAATACAAATTGTTTTAAAAATAGTTTCGTTGTTGTTTTAGGTCATTTTGTTTTGTTGTGGTGTATGCTGAAACAATTAGCATACACCACAACAGGTATATAGCTAAATTATATATTTATCAATTAAGTATTTTTTTAGGAACATACTTGTAAAATAGCTGTATGTGGCTAAGTGCATATAGTCCACGTTAATACATTTTTGAATTCTGAATTTTTTTAATAACTTTGTAAACTTTCATTTTATCAAGTATTTGTAAATGTATATTTTCTTGTGACTCATGACTTCTTCGTCTTTGTGTCGTGTATTAACACATCAATATAATTGCAACAACAAGTGTGGCCTATATGTCCTTTTCATTAAAGCCCGAATAACTGAAGTAGCACTTCGAAACGAGAGTGCGAAATAAACCCCGCATTTTACTCCGCGAACCTTTTCCGAACCTATAACATGCCACATAAGCATGAAATAAATTCATTAACAATTATTCGCCGAAGGCGAGGTGAATATCGCTGAATAAAAACCGAGACGAAGTCGAGGTTTTTATTCAGCGATATTCACCGAGCCTGAGGCGAATAATTGTTTTAGTATAATTACAAAGGTGATTACATGAAGAAAAATAATATAACACATCTCAATCTTTTTTCGTACGGCGGTGACTTTAGCTTTGTATATCCAGGGCCGCCTCATATCGCCATCAAAAATGCTTTTTTGTAGTAATTTCCATCACTTTTTCTTATAGAAACGTAGAATTTTGATAAACATTTGTTTATTCCGTCAATATTGATGTCTTCAAACTCATTTGTGAATTCTGACTGTCGTTGAAACAAATCTGTTGTAGAAAATACTTTTTTTACAAACGTAAACAAATGTCTAAACTATTGTACGGCAACTTAAATAAAACGGTGTTTTATGCGAAATAGTTTCCCCATCTCGTGGTTTCCCATCTCGAAATACTATTAAGCCAAATTTTGTCACTCCTTTCGTGCTTTTAGGTAAAGTATTTTCTTTAAAATTTAATTTATTTCTTCATCTGTCACTTCGACGAAACCACTCGCCGCCATTTTGAAAAAACCGCTTAGGTGATTATCGCGTAATAATCCGAGGTCGCTTGACCAATCAGCGGCCACAATTTTCGATAATCACCTTTGTAATTATACTAATATATCATAATAACGTGAGCAAATCAATAAAAAAATACTCAATCATTAGCGCCGGTATCAAGCGCACGCCAGACTCGTCCCCAGTCGCTTTAAGAGCGGGCGCGCGGCCAGAAGTGGCCGCATAAAGGCTCACGGGAAGGGCGAAAGAAGAAAATTTAGGGACTGGCAGATTACGGCTAAATTGCAGAATACCCGTCCACTTTTGAAGGTATCCCTTGTTATCATGATGCGATGATACGAAGTGAGAATGATTACGTAATAACTATATGACCGCGCTATTATAAAAGCCTGGGTAACCTATATTATTGCGTGATACGATGATACGATGGTACGAAGTGAAATAGCACGTATACAGTATATGTGTTTGCCTCGTTCTTTGAAAGACATGTATATCTCTTTGTCTCGTTCTTTGGAAACCTTACCCGTGGGCCATATCTAATTATTTACAAATCCAAAAATATAGCTTAATACCCAGACTTTTATAATAGCGCAAATCATAGTTATTACGTAATCATTTTCACTTCGTATCATCGTATCAGCCAAAAATATAGCTTACCCAGACTTTTATGATAGCGCAAATATATAGTTATTACGTAATCATTTTCACTTCGTATCATCGTATCATCGTATCAGCCAAAAATATAGCTTACCCAGACTTTTATAATAGCGCAGTTATATAGTTATTACGTAATCATTTTCACATCGTATCATCGTATCAGCCAAAAATATAGCTTACCCAGACTTTTATAATAGCGCAGTTATATAGTTATTACGTAATCATTTTCACATCGTATCATCGTATCAGCCAAAAATATAGCTTACCCAGACTTTTATAATAGCGCAAATGTATAGTTATTACACAATCATTTTCACTTCGTATCATCGTATCAGCCAAAAATATAGCTTACCCAGACTTTTATAATAGCGCAGTTATATAGTTATTACGTAATCATTTTCACATCGTATCATCGTATCAGCCAAAAATATAGCTTACCCAGACTTTTATAATAGCGCAAATGTATAGTTATTACGTAATCATTTTCACTTCGTATCATCGTATCATGATAACAGGTGAGGTCTTGCAAGAAAGTGTTTTTCTTGCAAACTAATATTTTAAGCTTCAAGTTTGGATTTTTTTACATTGGTATACATAAATCGATCATTTTATGATGTAGTCTCTGCAAAGTGCGTATTTTTATCAAGTATATCGGCCTTCAATTGGTCAAGTCTGGAGTACTATACTTCAAAATGGCGGACTCGGCTGATGAACTTTAATAGATGGTGAGTCTAAAAGATAATATAATACATTCTACCACTTGAATGTCTTGAATCTGTTGACCCTTTGAGCCGTAGCATAAATTTGCGTATACTAAAGAAATTAAGAAACTGGAATACATTATACGCTCGGCTGATTAGCGCCACGTTGCCTTGTTTCAAGTTGTAATTTTTGTCGTTCTGAACTATACAGGCTGTATCAAAAAAAGCGCAATCCTCGACTGAAATGTAAATTGCTAAACAAATAATAGACGAAAACGTTAAAGTTTACATTCATTTTAAAGCGTAGCCATTCAGCTTTCTAACAGTGGGTTGTTTCTTAAATTTGACTCATTGGTTCGCGGGTAATAATACTTTACGTTATTGCGATTGGAGATTAAAAAAATTGAGATGGAATAACAAATCATTCTCATGAAAATAATTGATTTTTTCATTAAAACAAAAAATGTTGCATTTTATTAAATGGATTGTAACAATAAGTATAATTACGGCTTTTCTTCCACTATTTTAACTCAGTTTGAAACTTCAAATGCGATATAATTTTGGCTTGGACCATCTAAGCTGACTGACATCAACTTGCTATAATTTCTGTTTACATTACATCGCAATTCGATGACACTCTGGCTCAGACACCAGAATGTTTTGACGATTTTTAGCATTCGTTTAGGATTTTGAAACAACCTGGTCTCTTTTAAAATACTTTTAATTTGTTCTTACGTGGTTTTCCAGATGTAGTGACGACAGCATTAAAGTTTAAAGAAGAAAATTCTAACATTTAAACCGACTAAACAATAACATAGTAAACTTGCATAATTAAACAGCAACTAAAAATGACAGGTTTTACTAAATATTTTCCTGTGCAATTATTACTAGCATTAGAGACAAGGATAATAGTTTGTTTGAAAGAGAAAAGAACAGGCTTTGAAGTAAGCCTAAAAGCGTTTAACTAGAAATAGTATTTCGAAAGTTATTAAGCACAAAAGATGAATTGCGTTTATTTTGATACACCCTGTAGACTTCTGATTCCATAAATTCGGATGACTGTCCTAAGACCAGCACTCCTAAAGCGAGAAAGTTACTGCCATTGGACGTCAAACACGACCTAACACCAGATTCTAAGAGTCCGGGATTACCAAGAACTAAATGCAGGAAAGTTGTTCAAGATTGGAACTTGTATTTTTAAAAAGT